CCTCCGGAAGTGCTGGGATTACAGGCATGAGCCACTGCGCCCAGCAACAATAAATGTTCTTGCTTGCAGTTTTATCATGGCCTTGGCAGGTTCAAGTTTGCTATTATGCTACCTAAAGATGTCAGGAAGCACAAGAAACGTCTTGGCAGTCAGTTACTGGGGGTTTCCAGCATTCCCGTGGAGAGGAGGGACTCGCAGAGGGGATGCTGGTGCTTTAGAACACATGTGCTGCAGGAACTCCCTTCTCTGTTCACATTTCACCACCCTGCATCCCCAGGGAGACCCTGCCTGGGTCAGGCAGCCCCACCTGACAAGGACCACCTGGATTAGGCAACGTTTCCCACAAAGCCCACCTCACACAGTCAGCCACGGGCCATTTCCTTCTATGCACACGGCTCAAGCTGGGGCAACTATATGCAGAAACAACCTGTGGCGGCTTCAAAAGAAAGTTTCCTGATATAATTCCAACAAAAGGGAGCATACATTACTCAGCTCTGCAGGGGTCCCGGAAAGCACAGGAGTGTTTGGATGGTGGCTTTGGCCGCAGGAGAAGCCACAACAGCCTTCCCTCCCTCCCTCCCACACACAACAGCAGCCTTGCAACACAGTCTGATGACCTTCCCCATCTTCCCTCACATGGGCATCTTCCCTCCTAAAATCTCTGCCCATTTAATCCTATCTTGGCATCTGCTTCTCAGAGTACCCATTTCCTCAGAAGGAGGCTTTGGGGTCTCAGATACCATCATCCCTCCCCAGACACCCATGGCCTGTGTGTAGACGATTCAATGCCATGGGCCACACATGCTGGAGAAGCTGCTGGGAGATCCAGAGAAGAGAGTAACTGATTCTTCCTGGAGGCCTAGAAGGTCAAGAGAAGACAGGAAATGGTGGTGTTGTGGGAGAGCCATGAAGGATAAGTGGGATGGAACCGACATTCCTAAAAAAGAAGTGCAGGGGCCAGGCCCGGCAGCTCACACCTGTAATCCCAGCACTTTGGGAGGCTGAGGCGGGCAGATCATTTGAGGTCAGGAGTTCGAGACCAGCCTGGTCAACATGGCAAAACCCTGCCTCTACTAAAAATGAAAATAAAAGTGAAAAAAGTAACCTGGCGTGGTGGTGGGTGCCTGTAACCCTAGCTACTGAAGAGTCTGAGGCAGGAGAATCACTTGAACCTGGAAGGCGGAGGTTGCAGTGAGCTGAGATAGCACCATTGCACTCCAGCCTGGGCAACGGAGCAAGACTCTATCTCAAAAAAAAAAAAAAAAAAAGGAGGTACAGAGACCCCAGCAGTTCAGCATGGCCAGAGTGTACACATGCATAGGGTGGTGGTCCAAGGTGAGGCTGGACACAGCCCACAGCCCACAGTCCACAGTGTGAGGAGCAACATGGGAGACCACAGGTCCCTCCCTCACAGTCCTTAGCCTGGGCAGTGACAGAGTTCAATGACAGTCAATGGACAGCCTTTCCCCAACACTAGGATCCCAAAGAGCTTTTGTTATGTGGGGTTTATCTTTCAATATTTGCCCTGTTAGATATTAAAACAGAGAGTTTTTCTTTTTAAGATGAAGCTGGGGCCAGGCGCAGCAGTTCACATCTGTAATCCTAGTACTCTGGGAGGCCAAGGCGGGCGGATCACCTGAGGTCAGGAGTTCGAAACCAGGCTGGCCAACATAGTGAAACCCCCATCCCTACTAGAAATTCAAAAATCAGCCAGGCATAGTGGCACCCACCTATAGTCCCAGTTACTCGGGAGGCTGAGGCAGGAGAATCACTTGAACCTGGGAGGCAGAAGTTGTGGTGAGCCGAGATCACGCCACTGCACTCCAGCCTGGGTGACACAGCGAGACTCCATCTCAAAAAATAATAATAAAATAAAAGATGAAGCTGGACTGGGCTCAGTGGCTCACACCTGTAATCCCAACACTTTGGGAAGCTGAGATGGGAGGATCACTTGAGGCCAGGAGCTCGAGACCAGCATGGGCAACACAGTGAGACCTCATCTCTACCAAAATACAAAAAATAAAAAATAGTCAGGCATGGTGGTGGGTGCCTGCCATCCTAGCTACTCAGGAGGCTGGAGTGGGAGGATCATGTGAGTCCAGGAGATCAAGGCTGCAGTGAGCCACGATCACACCATTGCACTCCAGCCTGTGCGACAGAGCAAGACCCTGTCTCAAAAAAAAAAAAAAAAAAAAAAAAAAAAATCTTGTTTTTTAATTAAAAACTGATGAGGCTGGAAGACCAGCCTGTAATCCTAGCACTTTGGGAGGCCAAGATGGGTGGATCACCTGAGGTCAGCAGTTCGAGACCAGCCTGGCCAACATGGTGGAACCCCCATCTCTACTAAAAATACTCCGGAGGCTGAGGTAGGAGAATCCCTTGAACCTAGGAGGCGGAGGTTGCAGTGATCACACCACTGTACTCCAGCCTGGGCAACAGAACAAGACCCTGTCTCAAACAAAACAAACAAACAAACAAACAAAAACATGGCGGCCGGGCGCGGTGGTTCACGCCTGTAATCCCAGCACTTTGGGAGGCCGAGGCGGGCAGATCATGAGGTCAAGAGATCGAGACCATCCTGACCAACATGGTGAAACCCCATCTCTATTAAAAATATAAAAATTAGCTGGGCATAGTGGCGGGCGCCTGTAGTCCCAGCTATTCGGGAGGCTGAGGCAGGAGAATCGCCTGAACCCGGGAGGCAGAGGTTGCAGTGAGCCGAGATCACGCCATTGCACTCCAGCCTGGGCAACAGAGCGAGACGCCGTCTCAAAAAACAAAACAAACAAACAAAAAAACATGGCAGAACAGCTCAAATGCTAAGCCAAAGACTGGGGGCTTTATCCTATAGGCAAGAGGGAGTTGTTGAAAGTTTTGAGCAACTGAGTCGTGACCACATTTGCATTTTTAGAAACATTACCAAGTCAAGATTGAAGGCTAGAGGGCAATTAGGAGGCCTTGCAGTAGGTCATTTGTCTTTTCACGCAGATTTAATGAGGAAGGAGTCAGAATATAATAGTTTTATTAATGGTGTTGAATTTCACAACCAAATAATCCCTTTACCATATTGTTTTATTTTCTAACATGAAAGAGCTTCTACCATTAATCCTCTCTTCTGTCTCCTGAAGCCAGGGCTCCACAGGCCTTCCTCTGGGAGACACACCCAGGTGTGCCGCCTTCCCCTGCCAGATCCTCAGGCCTTTCTTACCCAACTCACAACCTCCCTTTCACCCTTAGTCCCATACCCACCATCTCCTGAGAAAACTCCCACAATGGGCTGCCCAGGCCCCAGGCTCTTCCACCCATCCCGCCAGCACACCCTCCCCGTGAGAATGAGTGACCCCAGGCCAGCATCTTCCCTCAGGAGAGAAGACTGTCTGGCTCCCCAAAGGCCTCTCCCTCCAGGGAAGAGGGACTCTCACTCTGGCCTCAGTGGTTACGCCAGAGCCCGAGAAATGCCTGTGCGCTAAAACCAAAGAGTGTGTGAACCAGCAAGTAAGTGGGGAGTGGCCAGTTCTGGGACATCTAGTGGGGGCCCTTCTCTTCCCCATGAGCAGCACGGACCAGTGTGACCTTGGCGTCAGGCTCTTTCTCTTGGCTGGCTTCCTCAACGTTCAAGACTCTCAATAAATATATCCCAGAGGCAAAGCAAGTTAAGTCGAGGGTTGTTTATTTGCCTAGAATCAGCTCTGGCAATTTTCCAATGTCTTCTTTTTGTTGTTTTTCTGGTTTTTGTTGCAACAGGGTCTCGCTGTGTTGCCCAGGCTGGTCTCAAACTCCAGGCCTCAAATGATCCTCTTGCCTCAATCTCCCAAAGTGTTGGGATTACAGGCATGAGTGCCCAGCCCCTAAATGTCTCTGCGTTGGTTTATGTTTATTTGTTTCCTTTCACTCCTGGTGCAAACCTTACATGTTTTTGACTGGGGAAACATATTTTTGGACCTATGCCTCTCCTCGATCTACACTGAGAGTGAAGAGCCCAGTGGGATGTGCACTAGGTCAGGGCTTCCCCCAGCGTCAGCCCCTGTGGCCAGCAGCGTCACCTGGGAACCTGCCAGAAATGCACATTTTTGGCAGGGCATGGTGCCTCACACCTGTAATCCCAGCACTTGGAAGGCCAAGGCAGGAGAATCACTTGAGGCCAAGAGTTCAAGATCAGCCTGGGCAACATAATGAGACACCATTTCTACAAAAACTAAATTTAAAAAAAAAAAAAAAAAAATGAGCATTTTCGGCCAGGCGCAGTGGCTCACGCTTGTAATCCCAGCACTTTGGGAGGCCAAGGTGGGTGAATCACTTGAGGTCAGAAGTTCGAGATCAGCTTGGCCAACATGGTGAAACCCCTACTAAAAATTAAAAATAAAAATAAATAGCCAGGTGTGGTGGCGGGCGTCTGTAGTCCCAGCTACTTGGGAGACTGAGGCATGAGAATTGCTTGAACCCTGGAGGCAGAGGTTACAGTGAGCTGAGATGGCACCACTGCACTCTAGCTTTGGGTGAAAGAGCAAGACTCCGTCTCAAAAAAAAAAAGAAAGAAAGAAAGAAAGAAATGAGCATTTTTGACCTGTCCGACCTACTAAATCAGAAACTTAGCACCCTATGCTTTAACAAGTCATGGTTAAGGGCTTTAAAAAGGTTATTTGAATGCATGCCTAAGGTGGAGAACTAAGGGGAAGGCCTTTGGGTAAGGTGAGTCTGGAGTGGGGGACCCAAGGCCTAAGGAGGAGGGGAGTGTGAGGCTGAAGGAGCCCCTTACTCTACAGGTTCTCAAGCTCCTCCTGTCAATCCCCCTACCTGGCCCTGGCCCTCCCTCACTCAACCTTAGTTTCTTCCTGGAATTCTCAGGGCTCCTGGTTCCCAAATTCTGATTTCCCCACCGACCTGACTCCAGATCTCCCTACCCCACTGGGTCTTGTCCCCAGCATCACCCCAACCCCTCACCAGCAGTCCCCAGGCCATGCCAACCCCCACGCTTTTTTTTTTTCTTTCTTTCTTTTTTGAGACAAAGTCTCACTCTTGTCGCCCAGGCTAGAGTGCAGTGGCGCAATGTCTGCTCACTGCAACTTCCAACTCCTGGGTTCAAGCAATTCTCTTGCCTCAGCCTCCTAAGTAGCTAGGATTACAGGCTACACCACTGCGCCCAGCTAATTTTTGTATTTTTAGTAGAGACGGGTTTCACCATGTTGCCCAGACTGGTCTTGAACTCCTTACTTAAGGTGATCCACCCGACTCCGTCTCCCAAAGTGCTGGGATTACAGGCATGAGCCACCAAGCCAGTCCTACCCCCACGTCAGTATTCTGGGAGACCCCCCCAGTTCCCAGCTCCCTGGGCCCTGGCAACCCGCTCCCCACCCTTCTCCCTTCAGACCCTACCAAGGAGACCTAAGCTCCAACCCAGGTCCCTGCGCCCCTCCCCGACCCGTCCGGCGGCTCAGGCCTCGGCGCTTTCGGACCCCACGAGCAGCAGCGGCTGGGAGTTCTTGCCCTTGTCGTGCCAGCACACGTCGAAGAAGGGGTACACGGGCCCAGGCAGGCGCTCATGGAAGGCAAAAAGCGGCACGAGCGCGTCGGCGTCGCTGGCATCGTAGAAGGAGAGGACGCCGTCGCCGAAGCTCAGGTAGAGGCCGATGCGCGTGGGCCGCCGCTCCGGGCTGCGCAGAGCGCGCGGCTCCTTGGCCTCCACGTGAGCCTCCAGGATCTTGCCCTCACGCAGCCCCAGCAGCCATAGGCCCTGCGAGGGCACCGCGTGCAGGCGCCCGCGGCGGGGGCCCTCGGCCGCGATCACGCCCAGCGCCCAGCGCGGCTTGTCGCCCACCTCCACCTCCCAGTAGTGTTCGCCCTCGGAGAGCTGCTGGTGCGCCACCACCGCCACCGCCTTGTCGAACTGGCGCGGGTCCTCCCCCGCCGGCGGCGCCTTCTGCTCCGAGCACTCCACTCGGCGGCCGGAGGAAGACACCACCAGGCTCGGGTGCGCAGAGCTCGGGTCAAAGGTCAGCTCCTCCAGCGCTGCCAGAGAGACCACGATCAGAAAACCCTAGGTTTCTGCCTCGCTGGGGCCTTCTCCCAACCACTTACAGGCCAGCTTTGTCTCCCCTAATCCTCTTGGCATCTCTGCTCACCGGCTTAGGCCACAAGACCACACCTGGCTCAACTTCAGTTTGCTCAGCTGTGAGATGAGGCCATGATTGCTTTTGCTTTTGCTTCCCTCTAGGGTGGCAGGCAGGCCTGCAATTTCTTTCTTTTTTTTTTTTTTTTTTTTTGAGGCAAGGTCTCACTCTGTGGCCCAGGCTGGTGTACAGTGGTGCAACCTTGGCTCACTGCAATCTCCAACTCCCAGGCTCAAGCAATCCTCCCATCTGCCAAGTAGCTGGTACTACAGGCATGTGCCACCACACCTGGCTAATTTTTTTAAGTTTTTGTAGAGACAGGGGGTCTCACTATGTTGCCCAGGCTGGTCTCGAGCTCCTGGGCTCAAGTGATCCTCCCACCTCGGCCTCCCAAAGTTTTGGGATTACAAGCGTGAGCCACCGAGCCCAGCCAACAGAACCAAATTGATACAAGGCCTCACCATCTGAGGCCCAGACAAGGCCCAAGGCCCAAGGTCGAGGAGCCTGATCTTTACATCAGCCTAGACCCAGTCTCTGAGCCTTAGTTTTCTCTTGAATAAAATGAGGCTGTCTGCATTCCCACCTCCGCTGAGGCAAGGAATGGCTGCCCCAGCAATGTGTATGCCCCAGAGCTCTGTAACCTGCATCATCCAGCTCTTGCAGGGAGGAACTGAGCCCTTGGGCCTCCCCAGCCACAGGCTGCCAGTCACTGTCTAACCCGGGCCAGTCCCCAGGGTTCCAGGAGCTCTGCAGAGCCTCAGTCCCCAATTGGCAGGATTTATCATCTCCACTGTCCAGAGAGCGGCAGAGACTGACCAAGGATCACACAGCAAGTCAGTGGCTCAGTCCTAGGCCCCAGCGTTCCGTGCCGCCAACAGCAGCAGCATCTTCGTGTCAGTCACCCACTGCAAACCCCATGCTCTCAAAGGCCCTCCTCCCAACACAGGTTAGGGGACTGCAGGGGGGAACCCCAGAGGCAAAGGGGCATTGGGTACTTCCTTCAGTGGCCTCCCCAGTTGGGACTGGGAGGCCTCTCCAGGGTGGGTAGGGCCTCCCATCAACTGCCTAGTCACACACAAACCTGAGCCAGTCCCTCCCGGTACCTGGCATCAGAGCCCGGAACATCTTCCTCCACACCTGGAATTTGAAGTCATCTGAGATGATTGGCAGCTGGATGTCCAGACGGGCAGGTGGGGGAGACTCTGCCAGGATCTTCTGCAGCCTGGGGGTGGGGAGGGTAAGGGGAGACGTCTGTGAGCGGGGAGGACAAGAGCTGGGGGAATTCCAGGATCTCCCCACATCACACCCCTGCTTAAAACTCTTCCTTTGGAGTTTTGATTTGGGAAGATGAGAAAATTCTGGAGGTAAGCACTGGTGATGGTTGTACAATGTGAATGTACTTAGCACCACTGAATTTTAAATGCACACTTAAAAATGCTTAAAATGAGCCAGGTAGAGCGTAGTCCCAGCTGCACAGGGAGGCTGACTCAGGAGGCTCACTGGAGCTCAGAAATTTGAGTCCAGTCTGGGCAACATAGCAAGATCCTGTCTTTAAAAAAAAAAAAAAGAAGAAGAAGCTTAAAATTGTCAATTTTATGTTACATATATTTTACCACTGTTTATTGGTCTTTTTTTTTTTTTGAGATTGAGTCTGGCTCTATCACCCAGGCTGGGGTGTAGTGGCATGATCTTGGCTCACTGCAGCCTCTGCCTCCCAAGTTCAAGCAATTCTCCTGCCTCAGCCACCCAAGTAGCTGGGATTATAGGTGTCTGCCACCATGCCTGGCTAATTTTTGTGTTTTTAGTAGAGAGGTTTTGCCATGTTGGCCAGGCTGGTCTCGAACTCCTGACCTCAGATGATCCACCCGCCGCAGCCTCCCAAAGTGCTTGGATGACAGGCGTGAGCCACCGCACCCGGCCCAACTACATTTTTTTTCATCCTTCTTTTGGGATAAGGTCCAAGCTTCTCGGCTTTGCCAGTGTACACACACCTACTACCCCAATTCCTCTTCCCTCCCACTCACCAGCCCTCTAGCTGGCTGTCCCGTCTCCCAGCAATGCCCTTCTCCCAGAAACACCCTTCTCCCAACAATGCCCTTCTCCCACACCCTTCTTCCAGCAATGCCCTTCTCCCAGCAGCGCCCTTCTCCCCACAATGCCCTTCTCCCTGCAACGCCCTTCTCCGCGCAGTGCCCTTCTCCCTGCAACGCCCTTCTTCTTCCAGCAATACCATTCTCCCCACAATGTCCTTCTCCCAGCAATGCCCTTCTCCCCGAGGTTTTGCCATGTTGGCCAGGCTGGTCTCGAACTCCTGACCTCAGATGATCCACCCGCTCGCAGCCTCCCAAAGTGCTTTGGATGACAGGCGTGAGCCACCGCACCCGGCCCAACTACATTTTTTTTTCATCCTCTTTGGGATAAGGTCCAAGCTTCTCGGCTTTGCCAGTGTACACACACCTACTACCCCAATTCCTCTTCCCTCCCACTCACCAGCCTCAGCTGGCTGTCCTGTCTCCCAGCAAATGCCCTTCTCCCCAGAAACACCTCTTCTCCCAACAATGCCCTTCTCCTACACCCTTCTTCCAGCAATGCCCTTCTCCAGCAGCGCCTCTACAATGCCCTTCTCCCTGCAACGCTCTTTCTCCGCGCAGTGCTCCTTCTCCCTGCAACGCCCTTCTTCTTCCAGCAATACCATTCTCCCCACAATGTCCTTCTCCCAGCAATGCCCTTCTCCCCACAATGCCCTTCTCCCAGCAATGCCCTTCCCAGCAAATGCCCTTCTCCTCACAATGCCCTTTCCTTTTCCCAGCAGTGTTCTTCTCTTCCAGCAATCACTTTCCCGCGATGCCCTTTCTCCCTGCAACAAATGCCCTTCTCTCCCCATAATGCCCTTCTCCCAGCAATGCCCTTCTCCTCACAATGCCCTTCTTCTCCCAGCAATGTTCTTCTTCCAGCAATACCCTTCTCCCCGCAATGCCCTTCTCCCCGCAATGCCCTTCTCCCCGCAATGCCCTTCTCCCAGCAATGCCCTTTCCCCAGCAACACCCCTTCTCCCTGCAATGCCCTTCTCCCTGCAAATGCCCTTCTCCCTGCAATGCCCCTTCTTCTTCTAGCAATGCCCTCCCTGCAATGCCCTTCTTCTAGCAATACCCTTCTCCCAGCAAATGCCCTTCTCCCGCAATGCCCTTCTCCCCACAATGCCCTTCTCCCAGCAATGCCCTTCTCCCCGCAATGCGCTTCTCCTCCCAGTAATGTCCTTCTCCCCGCAATGCCCTTCTCCCAGCAATGCCCTTCTTCTCCCAGTAACGCCCTTCTCCCAGCAAAGCCCTTCTCCTAGCAATGCCCTTCTCCTCGCAATGCTCTTCTCCCCATAATGCCCTCCTCCCAGCAATGCCCTTCTCCTCACAATGCCCTTCTCCTTCCAGCAATGTCCTTCTCCCAGCAATGCCCTTCTTCTCCCAGCAATGCCCTTCTCCCAGCAATGTCCTTCTTCTCCCAGCAATGCCCTTCTTCTCTCAGCAATGCCCTTCTCCCCACAATGCCCTTCTCCTCGCAATGCCCTTCTTCTCCCAGCACTTTGCCTAGCCAACTCCTGTTCATCCCTCCAGGGCCCATCTCAAACATTCACTCCATGCCTGGCCACCCCTTTCCCTCCACAGCCACACTGAGCACACAGTGACGCCTTTGTCCCCACCCACATGTGTCTCATGGCACCAGTCTAGGAGGTCCCTGAGCAAAAGGATCCGTCCAGATCATTTCTGTCTACAACCATGTGTTCAGGCAGGGGTGGGGCAGCAGACTGAATTGCACGTGTGCAGGCACAGTAGTGAGTGGAGAGTAAGCCAGCTGGTGTCCCCAGAAGACTGGGACAAGTCAGGCAAAGGGGCAGGGCCAGGTTGCTCTCACCTGCTGGTCACCAGGCAGTATTTCTGGAGAGAGAGAAAAAGAGAACGGTGGTGAAGCCGATGTTGGGGACACTGGAGACTTTTGAGGATGGGGTAGACAACTAGGAATGCTGAGTGCAAGGTCAGGAAGAATCAGAAAAGCTCAAAGAGGCCAGGTGAGGTGGCTCATGCCTACAATCTCAACATTTTGGGAGGCCAAGGCGGATGGATTGCTTGAGGCCAGGAGTTCGAGACCAGCCTGGTCAACATGGTGAAACCCATCTCTACCAAAATTACAAAAAAATTAGCTGGGTGTGGTGACAGGCACCTGTAATCCCAGCTACTTGGGAGGCTGAGCCAGGAAAATTACTTGAACCTGGGAGGAGGAGGTTGCAGTGAGCTGAGATCACACCACTGCACTCCAGCCTGGGCAACAGAGCAAAGTCCTCTCTCAAAAAAAACAAAAAAACAAAAAAGCCAAAAGAGACCTAGAACTCAAGGCCACCCCTAGCCCTTCACTTTTATGTGGATTACAAAAAGGTATCTTCGCCTCCAAGCAACTCTGATTCCACCTGACAGAAAACTGTCCTAATAGGCCAGGTGCAGTGGCTCACACCTGTAATCCCAGCACTTTTGGAGGCCAAGGCAGGCAGATTGCTTGAGTCCAGGCATTTGAGACCAGTCTGGGCAACATAGTGAGACCCTATCTCTACTAAAAATACAAAAATTAGCCAGGCATGGTGGTAAGTGCCTATAGTCCCAGCTATGGGAGGCTGAGATTGGAGGACTGCCTGAGCCTACAAAGTCAAGGCTGCAGTGAGCTATGGTCATGCCACTGCACTCCAGTCTGGGTGACAGAGTGAGACCCTGCCTTAAAAAAAAAAAAAAAAAAAAAAAGGGTCCTAATAAATATATAAACCGACAAGGTCTGTGATATGAATAGTGCTCACTTAATACAATGTCCTTATGCAGTGCTCAGCCTAAACAACCATACAGCAGTCCTGAGGCCTGCCCCTCCCGGACATGTGATGCTGGCTCATCCCTGCCCCTCTCTGGGCCTATCTGACAATGGGATGAGGTCTCTGGGGCCTGAGCAGTGAGGGAGCTGAGGCAGGGAGGGGACGGGGGGGGGGTCACCCAGTGCTCACCATTAGGAACTCAGTTTGCGGCTTGTCAGCCACCTCGTCCAGCACCTTCTCCATCTGCCGCAGCTGCTCCAGGTAAGAGTTCAGGCTCCCCAGCTCCCGGCGCAAGGCGACCCCTGCCTCACCCCGCACACGCTCTGCCTCGCGGTCCAAGGAGCCCTCCAGTGCAGCCAGGAACACCCGCATCTTGCCCAGCTGCTCCCCCACAGCCCCCCGGAACTGACGCACTGTCTCCTGCGGGAAGGGGCAGTGATTGACGGACTAAAGGCTCTTGGCTGGAGACCCCTAGCCTGGCCCCCAGCCCCCGAGACATGGCCCTATGAAGTCCTCACCTCCACTTCCACCAGCTGATGCTCCAGCACAGCTACACTCTTCTCCTTGCGCATGCATGCTTCCTGCAGCTGCAGTTTCTGCTGTGGTAGCTGCGTCTGGGGGGCGAGGCATGGAGACGTGATGGGGATGCCACTCACCCCAAACCCACACCTCCCAACCTAAACCTGCCCTCTGTGTCTCAACCTCAATGCCACTTCCTCCTCCAGCCATCTTCCCATCCTCAAACCCACTTACATGCCTACCAGCCCCAGCCATTGCTACTCCTTCCTGAAGTCCGAATGCTTCCCCTGCCCCTTGCCTATTTTGGTGCGGTTTTTTTATTTATTTATTTTGATGTTTTGTTTTGAGACAGGGTCTCGCTCTGGAGTGACCCTGGAGTGCAGTGTCATGATCACAGCTAACTACAGCCCCAACCTCCCAGGCTTAATTGACCCTATCACCTCAGTCTCCCAAGTCCCAAGTAGCTGGAACTATAGGCACACACCACCATGCCCAGCAAATTTTTTGATTTTTTTTTTTTTTTTTTTTTGAGATGGGGTCTCACTCTGTCGCCCAGGCTGCAATGCAGTGGCACAATCTCGGCTCACTGCAACCTCCACCTCCTGGGTTCAAGTGATTCTCCTGCCTCAGCCTCCCAAGTAGCTGGGACTAATTTTGGTGCACCACCATGCCTGGCTTAATTGTGATATTTTTAATAGAGGCAGGATTTCACCATGTTGGCCAGGCTGCTCTCAAACTTCTGACCTCAGGTGATCCACCCACCTCAGCCTCCCAAAGTGCTGGAGTTATAGACATGAGCCACCACGCCTGGCCATGATTTTTTAAAATGTTTTTGTAGAGACAATCTCACTATATTGCCCAGACTAGTCTCCAACTCCTGGCCTCAAGCAATCCTCCCACCTCAGCCTCCCAGCATGCTGGGATTACAGGTGTGAACCAGCACACCCCCAGCCCCTTGTCTGTTTTGTTGACCCCTCCCTGGCCTTGCCTTCCCTGATCCCCTCTGCTCAGCAGTCAGCCCCATAGCACAGGTCTTTGTGAGGATGGCAAATGCCAAAGTGGTTTGGTCTCTCCCACCAGACAGGCAGGCACAGAGCTTGGCACACAACAGACCTCAGGGGGTATGTGAAGGATATGTGAAAGAAGAAAGGCAAACTCCCCCTACGCCTGGGCTTCCTCTCTTACCTAAAAGCAGAACATCAGCCTCAGTCAGACTGTCAGCCTAACTCCCACGTCAGCCAGCCTGTACATGCATGGGCTTGGAGTAGGGGGCACGGAATTTAATTAAAATGTCCCCTGCTGGCCAGGCGTGGTGGCTCACGCCTATAATCCTGGCACTTTGGGAGGCCGAGGTGGGTGGATCACAAGGTCATGAGTTCGAGGTCAGCCAGGCCAAGATGGTGAAACCCCATCTCTACTAAAAATACAAAAATTAGCCGGGCACAGTGGCAGGTGCCTGTAATCCCAGCTACTCGGAAGGCTGAGGCAGGAGAATGGTTTGAACTAGGGAGGCAGAGGTTGCAGTGAGCCAAGAATGTGCCACTGTACTCCAGCCTGGGAGACAGAGCAAGACTCCGTTTCAAAAAAAAAAAAAAAAAAAGTCCCTTGCATAGACGAACCAAACACTCTGTGGTCTAGATCTTACCCAAGACCTCAAATGCAAATACGCAAATATAGGAGAGCTCCCAATACTCCTGCCAAAGAAATTTTTTTTTTTTTTTTTTTTTTTTTTTTGAGACAGGATTGCCTAGGCTGGAATGCAGTGGCACAATCACAGCTCTGCGTCCTTGAACTCCTAGGCTCAAGCAATCCTTTTGCTTCAGCCTCCTGAATAGCTGGCACTACAAGCATGAGCAACCATGCCAGGCTACAAAGCCACTTCTTTGCTGGAAGGTGCCTGGCCATGGAATGAGTTCCACTCCTGCCTCCATGACTTCCAACCTGTTTCCTCCTCTGCAGATTGGGAACAGCAATCCCCACCTCAACAATTTGGCGCCCCCACTTTCCCAGGGGAAACTGGGGGACCCTCTAGTAGGTGTTTGCAGAGTGCCCTCCCAGCAGGAGCCACAGGGTTGAATATGAGCTGCCAGATCAGTCTCCTCCCCGGTTCATCCCCGGGGGCGGCGGCTCCACCTGCTACAGGAAAGGTAGGACCTGATGGCTCCAGGCCCTCGGAGGCTCAGAGGCTCAGGGCTGAGCCATAGGAAGGAAGCGCGAGGCCATCCTGAAGGTGCTGGAGAACCTGACCCCGGAGGAGCTCAAGAAGTTCAAGATGGGCCGGGCGGGGTGGCTCACGCCTGTAATCCCAGTACTTTGGGAGGTGAGGCCGAGGCGGGCGGATCACGAGGTCAGAAGATCGAGACCATCCTAGCTAACACGGTGAAATCCTGTCTCTATTAAAAATACAAAAAAAATTAGCCAGGCGTGGTCGCGGGCGCCTGTAGTCCCAGCTACTCGGGAGGATGAGGCAGGAGAATGGCGTGAACACGGGAGGCGGCGGAGCTTGCAGTGAGCGGAGATTGCGCCACTGCACTCCAGCCTGGGCTACAGAGCAAGACTCAGTCTCAAAAAAAAAAAAAAAAGAAAAGAAAAGAAAGAAAAATTTAAGGTGAAGCTGGGGACTGTGCCGCTGCGCGAGGGCTTTGAGCGTATCCCGCGGGGCGCACTCGGGCAGCTAGACATCGTGGACCTCACCGACAAGCTGGTCGCCTCCTACTAGGAGGACTACGCAGCCGAGCTCGTCGTGGCCGTGCTGCTGGACATGGGCATGCTGGAGGAGGTGGCACAGCTGCCGCGGGCCGCGCGAGGGCCACTCTGAGCTGGTACGTGACTTAGGGACCCAACCCCGCTTCTTCGCCAAGGACCGAGGCGTCGGGTCCCGCCCAGAGCCTTCCTGTTTCCCTCCTCCTTCAGGGTCCCTCCTGGGGTCCTTCCTCAGACCTCCGGCCAGCCCCTCCCGGTGGCGAAGGGCTGGGCTGCCGCGAACCCCGGTGGGCTGCATCTTGCCCCACTGCCGCCTTCCAGGCTCCTGGGCTGCCTGTGCCCTGTTCCGTTTCATGGGTTCTGTGCTCTCTTCGCAGATAAAGACAGGCAAGGTTGGGCGAGGTTGGGATGCGCTCAAAGCCCTCGCGCAGTGGCACAGTCCCCAGCTTCATCTTGAATTTCTTTTCTTTCTTAAGCACAGGTGTGCAGGGATGGGAGGGCTCCCGGGAGGAGGCTCCTGCCCTGAGCTAGGAGACCACCAGCTAGGACTGGGCTGAACTGGGCCAGGCAGGAGCTGGCGGGACTGAGAGGCTGGGTCCTTGGGAAGTCCGGGGGCCTCGAATACCAACGAAAGGACGGTGGTCTACCCCCTCTAGGAGGCGGGCCAAGGAAAGGAGTAGTGCAACGCCTGTGAAGCCAGCCCCGCGCGCGCACCTGTAGCGAAAGACGACGGCAGTGTCTCCACCTCGGGGACCGAGGACGCCTCCGTGCCTCCAGACCCCGCCTCCTCCAGCCCCTGCGCCTGTCATTTCTTCTTCCACTGCCCAATAAATATTCATGACAGACTTTCCAGGGGCTGCGCGCGCACGTGCCCGCCGGCAGCTACACGCGTGTGCTTTTGCCACACGTATGGCACGCACTAGCCAGTGTGTGTGGGTCTCTATTTGCCTCTGTCTGGGTGTCTGCTGAGTACCTCGAGACGCACACAACCACGTGTGGGCTCCCAAGGCGTTCGGTACTTCCAGCTCCACCCAGAAAAACATCCTGGACCGGGCTCTCGCTGCCACCCTGGGTCCACGCACGCAAGTGCAGATCCCGGCTGCCTGGCCGTTCCAGTTTCCCTTTTGGTGAGGGGACCCGCCTGGGGCCAGCCAAAGTTCCAAAGTTTCAGGGGTGCGTGGGCCTCCGCTGAGCACAACAGTACAGCCCTGCCCCGGCCGCCTGGCTCGGCCCGGAACGCCGCGCCTCCAGTCCAAAGTGGGCCAGCGCCGCGCAGGGAGCCTGCCCGACCGGCCCACCTGGTGCGGGAATGAGCGCGTGAGCCGTAGGGGCCGGTCGGTCTCTGCTCCGCCTGGTTCCGCCCCGCCCATCAGACCAGCCCTGGGGCTCCGCCCGCCCATCTCCAGGTCCCTCTAGAGGCTAAGGCCGGGAACCTAGGTTTGCTCAGCGCCCTTCTCGCCAGTCTCCGTCCCTGCGCGGCTTTCCTCTGTCAGCCCCGCCTTCAGCTCCTCAGACACTCTTTCCTGGCTGCTTCGCCCCGCCCCCGACCCCTGCAACTCCAGGTGCTCGAGAGCCTCTTTAGAGACTCAGAATCCAAATCAGTACAGCGACCTCCCCAGCGGCCAGGCCCCGCGCCGCCGAACAACCCCTCCGACCCCGATGCGCTCGGATCCCGCACCTTGAGGCGTGCGTGGGCCTCGGCGGCGGGCAGGAGGCGATGACCGCGGTGCGAGCCGAGTGAGGCGCACACTCCGCACACCAGCGCGCGGTCCTGCTCACAGTAGATGCTCAGCGGGTCCAGGTGCTCCTCACAGTGGCCCTGCGGCACCTGGGCCAGCCCCTCCACCAGGCGCGCCAGCTGCAGGTTGGTGCTGAGTGCCTGCGGCCGCGTAGGGGCCTGACAGCAGGGGCAGAGAACGGTGCCATCCGCCGCCGGCTCCCCGGCCACGCGGCCCAGGCAGGCGCGACAGAAACTGTGGCCACACTCGGCTGTCACGGGCGCGTCGAACAGTTGCAGGCACAGCGGGCAGGACAGCTCCTGGTGCAGGAGGCCGGGCGCAGCCGACATGGCGGGCCTGGGTGGAGGAGGAGTCGGTTAGGGGGACCCGCTGCGCCGCGCTCCCGGCCCAGCCCTAGCCCAGGCCCGGCCCGCCGCGCCGCAGGGAGAAGCCGCGGCCTGTGAAGACCTCACATCATACACTGGATGGGGCTCTGACGGCCAAGGGGAAAGAGGAACTCGGTCTCAGGCCCAAAAGCAACCTCCACTGCAATTCTCAGCTCCAGCTCCAAAAATATGCGCTATCGGTCAACCCCAGTTCCTGAACACAAGCCCAGGTCCTAGCCCACTGTCCTTGCCCTCGCCTTAGCCCCAGGCTTCAGCCTCTGACCTCAGCCCCGGCCCCAAATTCTCCAGAGCCCCAACTTCGAGACTCCCCTCCCCCACTTTACCAAGATCTCCAGCCCTCCCCTCCCCCGCCTCCAGCCCACGGGACTCACAGGTCTGGGTTGGAGATCTTAGGCTGAAAGAGACTGGAAGGAGGACCGGTCAGGGTCGAGCCTAGCTGGACTGGGGTCAGGGCTGTGTCCAAAGATCTGAGACAAGCAGCAGGCTCCAAGCAAGGACAGGGACTCACAGGGGAAGCTGGCAGTGGACACCACGCGTGATGGGCACACAGTGCTCAGTGGAAGACCCTCCCAGACTGAGCCATGGCTCCAGGACTATATTTAGCTGCCCTGCCCAATCCCTCCCATCACTTCCGGAAACCGTTCTAAAAGTGAGAGCTGAGTAGTCCCCGTGCACGCATCACATGCCAGGGCCACCTGTCTTGGCCCATCCACTGTTCTCTCCCCAGCCAGCCTGTAGCCAGAGCTCAGAGCCAGCGGGGAGACAGGACCTTTCTCACCACAGAAAAGACAGAAAATTGAGGGGGGATCTCCCCTTTCTCCCTCAACTCCCACGTCCACACTCTCCAGCTCCTTCCTCCTTGCTGGCAGCCCCTCCCCAGCCTGTCGCCCATTCATTCCCCAAGCTTATGGCTGACCAAGGTCACCCTGGCAGGATTATCCCACCTGCAGGAGGGCAGGACCTCACCCCACTCTGAAATGTTTTCTTCCTCCAGAGCTGAGGGGAGGGTCTTTTCCAAGTTGGTCTCTCTAGTACACCCAGGACAAGCCTTGGGGCAAAGTAGGCCTCTCTAAATGCTTGGAGAATTAATGACAGAGAGAGATTGAATAAACGAATGAACTGAATCCAGAGCCTGCAGCCCAGAACTCAATTCTGCCCTGGTTCCTGTATGTGTATCTTTCAAATCTCAGCTGAAATTTCATTTAAGTGGTGCTGGGATAACTGGCTAGACATATGCAAGAGAATGAAAGTGGACCCCTGCCTTTCACCATATAAAAAAATTAACTCCAGATGGGTTAAAGACTTAAATGTAAGACTTCAAACCATAAAAATTGTAGAAGAAACCCCAGGAGAAATACCATTCTGGATATCAGCCTTGGTAAAGCATTCGTGACTAAGTCCTCGAAAGCAACAAAAACAAAAATTGTTAAGTGGGACCTCATTAAACTAAAGAGCTTCTTCACAGCAAAAGCAAAAGCAACTATCAACAAACAGATAACTGAAGAATGGAAGAAAATATTCACAAACTATGCATCCAACAAAGATCTACCATCCAGAATATATAAGGAAACTAAACATTTCAACAAGCAGAAAACAACTCCATTAAAAAGTTGGCAAGGGCCAGGTGTGGTGGCTCACACCTGTAATCCGAGCATTTTGGGGGGTCCAGGCGGGTGGAACACTTGAGGTCAGGAGTTTGAGACCAGTCTGGCCAACATGGTGAAACCTCGTCTCTATGAAAAATACAAAACTTAGCCAGGTGTGGTGACAGGTGCCTGTAATCCCAGCTACTTGGGAGGCTGAGGCAGGAGAATCGCTTGAACCCAGGAGGCAGAGGTTGCAGTGAACAGAGATCACACCATTGCACTCCAGCCTGGGTGACAAGAGCGAAATTCTGTCTCGCAGAGGTTGCAGTGAGCCAAGATCACGCCATTGCACTCCAGCATGGGCAACAAGAGCAAAACTCCGTCTCAAAAAAAAATCAATAAATATAAAAAAAAAAAAAAAAAGAAAGAAAGAAAGAAAAGAAATTTCATCTAGAATAAAAGCCAAAGTGCTAACTGTGGCCCACAAAGCCCTATCTGCTATGACCGCATTAATCACTCTGACCCATTTATCACCCCTTTCCCTGTTGATCACTCGCATCAGGGACTTTTCAATTAAGGTCCCCTCTGCCTGGAACACTCTCCAACCCAAGTACTGCATGGCTTCCTCTGTTTCCTCCCTCAGACTTTGCTCAATATCACCTTTCCAGCAAGGCCTCTCCCAGCTCCCTGATTTTAAATCTCCTATCTCCTCAACATCTCACTGCCTGGCTTTCTTTTTCCCTGTAACATTTATCACCATTCTACTTGTTTGCTGGTTTCTTCTCTGTCTCTTCCTACAGAATAGAAATTGTGTTTACTGCTTGTCTCCAGCTTAGACTAAAGTGTGTGACACACATTAGGCGCTCTACAGACACTAGGTGAATGAACAAACTCAGTCCCTCGCATTTGGTCTCTCCATCTTTCTCTTAGCTTCCCTCAAACCTTTCCCTGGTTTTCTTCTTTCTTATCTCAACTGCTATCTCTCTCAGAATGAATTTTTGTTTCTGTTTCAGTCTCTTAATCTCCCCTTTGGACTCTCCCTTTGCCTTCTCTCTTAGGTTCTTAATTTTTTCTTTTTCTTTTTTTTTTTTTTTTTTTGAGATGGAGTCTCACTCTGTTACCCAGGCTGGAATGCAGTGGCATGATCTCAGCTCACTGCAACCTCCACTTCCCAGGTTCAAGCGATTCTCCTGCCTCAGCCTCCCAAGTAGCTGGGATTATAGGCACGCTCCATCACGCCCAGCTAGTTTTTGTATTTTTAGTAGAGACGGGGTTTCACCATGTTGCCCAGGCTGGTCTCAAACTTCTGACCTCAGGTGATCCACCCACCTCAGCCTCCCAAAGTGCTGGGATTCCAGGCATGAGCCACTGCACCCAGCTGCTCATTCCTTCTTGCATGTTGCATGGTGACAGCACAAACTTCTGCTGGTCTGCTTAGGAAGGTAGCTACTTCAGGCTGCCTGACACCTTGTTTAACCTAGGCCCTCATTCAGGTTGTAACCATTTGGTTCTTTTAGGAGCAGAAAAGTTCTATTATTCTTCCGGATAAGAGCAATTACCTGTGTAAATGACTGCAGATTCTCGGGGTATGTGAAAAGTCTCAGGAAGCTGGCGCTTTTTTTTTTTTTTTTTTGAGATGGAGTCTCGCTTTGTGGCCCAGGCTGGAGTGCAGTGGCAAGATCTCGGCTCACTGCAAGCTCCGCCTCCCGGATGCACACCATTCTCCCACCTCTGCCTCCCGAGTAGCTGGGACTACAGGCGCCCGCCACCACACCCAGCTAATTTTCTGTATTTTTAGTAGAGACAGGGTTTCATCATGTTGGCCAGGATGGTCTTGATGTCCTGACTTCGTGATCCGCCTGCCTCGGCTTCCCAAAGTGCTGGGATTACAGGCATGAGCCACCGTGCCCAGCCAAAACTGGCGCTCTTTACCAGCACACTGAGAAATCCAGGGGAGTTTTGTGTCCCCACCTTCTTTGTCCTTAAGTCTCTGAGGTCTCACGGTGTGGCCCAGGCTGGAGTGCAATGGCGCAATCATGGCTCACTACAGCCTCGATCTCCCAGGCTCAAGTGATCCTCCCACCTCAGCCTCCCAAGTAACGGGGACCACAGGCGTTCGCTGCCATGCCTGGCTAAAAGCCCCTGATTTCTTCTATTCTTGATGGCTCAGACTCAGCCTTGTATTAGCAATAGGAAGAGGGTTTGAAAGAGGGTATATCTGGAGCTGGTCTCTGAAACCACAAGCTGCTCAGGCTCAAAAACTCAACTTCCAGAACGTAAATCTCATCCAGAGTTTCCATCATGGCCAAGTTGGGGCTGAAGGTCCTGCTATCATCTATAGGAGCAGGTGTCCAAGACAGGTGGGTGATAGTCAACTCAATCCCTCCCTGCAGATGGGCAAGGACTGGCCTCTGATCCATGGAAAGAACATTGATTGTCCTAAGCAGACTGAGAACAAGAAGAGGCAAGAAGCCATGTGCAACGAAGGAGGGAGTGGTGAACCAGTGTGGCTGGCCCTACAAGGTCACTCAGACCTAAAGAGCTCGCTAGGGACAGATTTCAGCTTGTGCTAAGGGAAATCTTCCCAACAGCTCAAGCAATGAGTGCCTTGGAAGGTGAGAGCTCCTGGTTATTGGATACATGCAGAGAGAGGCCAGAAAGCCCCCGTCAGGGCTACTACAGAAGCAAGTCCTGAATGCTGACTTCACGAGCTCATGCTGGGCACTCCCAGGGAAAACCACCTGTCTCTCTGGGCCTCAGCACCTTCAGTTACAATATAAGGATAAATAACACCATTCTGGCCAGGTGTGCTGGCTCACACCTGTAATCCCAGCACTTTCGGAGGCCAAGGTGGGAGGATCACTTGAGTCCAGAAATTCGAGACCAACCTGGGCAACACAGCGAGACCCCTGTCTCTACCAAAAACAAACAAACAAAACAGTATGGTGGTTCATGCCTGTAGTCCCATAATCCCAGCTACTCCAAAGGCTGAGCCAGGAGAATTGCTTGAACCCTGTCTCAAAAAGAAAAGAAAAAAAAAACCAACCTGTAGAGTTGTCATGAGGATTAAACTAAAAAATATGCCACATAGGCTGGGTGCAGTGGCTCACACCTGTAATCCCAGCTCTTTGGGAGGCCAAGGTGGGTGGATCACTTGAGGTCAGGAGTTCAAGACCAGCCTGACCAACATGGTCAGACAGAAACCCTGTCTCTACTAAAATTACAAAACTAGCTGGACATGGTGGCTGGTGCCTGTAATCCCAGCTACTTGGGAGGCTGAGGCAGGAGAATTGCTTGAACTCAGGAGGCAGAGGTTGCAGTGAGCTGAGATCGAGCCATTGCACTCTAGCCTGGGCAACAAGAATGAAACTCAGTCTCAAAACAACAACAACAACAACAAAAACCAGAAGAAAGAAAGAAAGAAAGAAAAAGAAAAAATGTATATG